TATGAGAGAGAGAGAGAGAGAGAGAGAGTGTGTGTGTGTGTGACCCCATGAGCTAGGTTGGGTGACCAGGTGTCCGGTTTTCGACCAGAGCACCCGGTCAAAAAGGGACCCTGGCGGCTCCGGTCAGCACCACCAACCGGACTGTTAAAACTCTGGTCGGCAGTGCTGCAGCGGTAAGGCAGGCTAGTTCCTACCTGTCCTGGCTGGCACTGCACTGTGGCCTGGAAGCGACTAGCAGGTCCGGCTCCCAGGGGGGACCACAGGGCTCTGCACACTGCCCCAACCCTGAGCCAATGGGAGCTGGGGCGGGGGAGGGGGGAAGTCTCTGCAGGCAAGAGCGGCACGTGGAACCTCCCTGGCCCCCCTGCCTAGGACATGGACCTGCTGGCTGCTTCCGGGGCGCACACAGCCTGGTGCCAGGACCGGCAGGCAGCCTGCCTCAGCCCACCCGCTGCACCACTGACCAGGAGCCATCCTAGGTAAGCCAGTGCCTTGAACCCGAGCCACAACCCCCTGCCCCAGCTCTGAGCCCCCCCAAACCCAGAGCCCCCTCCTGCATCCCAAACCCCTCATCCCTACCCCCCCAGAGCCCTCACCCCCCCTGCACCCAGCCCCCTGCCCCAGCCCAGAATCCCCGCCCATACCCTGAACCCCTCATCCCCAGCCCCACCCCAGAGCCCTCACCTCCTCCTGCACCCCAACCTGCAGCCCCCTACCACACGCCGAATCCCTCTGCCCCACCCCTGAGCCTGGAGCCCCCTCCTGCAGCCCAAACCTCTCATCCCCAGCCCCACCCCCAGCTGGAGCCCTCACCCCCTCCCACACCCCAACTCCCTGCCCAAGCCCGGAGGCCCCCCCCGTAAACCCCTCATTTCTGGCCCCACCCCAGAACCCGCACCCCCAGTTAGAGCTCTCACCCTCTGCCCCAGCCCAGTGAAAGTGAGTGAGGGTGGGGGAGAGCGAGCCACTGAGGGAGGGGCAATGTAGTGAGCGGGGGCAGGGCCTCAGGGAAGGGGCAGGGCTAGAGTGTTCGGTTTTGTGTGACTAGAAAGTTGGCAACCCTAGAGTTGGGGGGCAGTGAGGGAATGGATATGCTCAGGAAGGGGGCTTAGAAAGAGAAGCAAAATGGGGAAGCAGAGAGAAAACTTGGATAAACTTGGAAGCTCACTTAAATATTTTGCTTGGGAGACCAAACATAAATGAATATGTTCCTGCTAACAAGATGCAATACAGTTTTTCTTTTACTCCTTTTCAAATGCCTCGTAAATCAGATACTGGCTCTGAATTTGTGGATGAGCCTTCCCAATTAAATTCATCACCACATTTGGAAGAGGAGCAAGCATTAAGGCATCTATTTGCAAGCAGACTGTTAGCCAGCTACTCAGATTAGCTACTTCCAAAGAGCTAGACACAGTTCTAATAGAAATCAGTGTAATAAGAAGCACCTTCTGGTTCTTATGTGACAGATTATGATCTCACATGAAAACGAATGTCCTAGAACTAACCCTTTTTAATAAGGAATCTTTAAAACATATTAAATGTTTGTCCTAATGAAGTAATGGTTTCCTATGGTTTTACTTCTTTTCTGTACTCCCTATAGTTTTATTTCTTTGTTGAAATATGTCACTTCTTAAATTATTATGTTTTCCTAAGTCTACTACATTCTTTTTCTAACCCACACTAAGAAAGCACAATTGTCAAGCGTTCAATTTCGAGGGCAAACTGACCTCCAACATATTGTGAATAACATATATTTCATATTTTACAGTTATTCTGAAAACATTCCTAAGCTTATATCCTGTGTGTGTCTGAGTATCTTCAAATCACTCCACCCAACAAGAGTAAACCAAAAAGCCTAATGCCACCAGTCAATATCAAGGACGAGGTGAGAGGAGAAGATGAAGAAGTAATTCAGTATGATGGAGTCACTAATATTACAGGAGTCACAGCCAACTTAGATAAGACACTGTTGTGAGACAGCCCCACAGCAGCTGTTGCAGTCCCAAAACTGTCATTTTCGAGTGTTAAAAATTGTCTAACTACTGTCTAAGAAACTGGGAGGACAGGAAGAGAAAAGAGCGAAGTCAATGCGCTATGATTTTAGCCTTCACTGACCCATTTTGTCAAAGAAGTACTGTGCTACAGATTGCACAGTTGCACAGTACAGCGTTTCACTGACACATTTTGATCCTTTTTTCCTCAAAGGTCTTTCATTCCCTAGTAGATCTTATAGAAGGACATGAACTACTCTGGGCTTCCTGAGGGAGAGATTTACTTTGTCCAGGTTAATAAATTATCTAGTAATCTCATGTGGCATCTGGGTAGGCAATTTATTACACCTACTATAAAACCCTTGGAATCAAAGATGAGTAAACATCTTAAAAGGGCAGGACAACCTATCATAATGAGGCAAATTCAGAGGCATGCCATAATCTAACACTTAACTGTTGTAGTCTCTTCCATAAAGCCACGTGTCTCATGAAAAATGACAATCTGCCACACGCAAGGGAATTCTCTCCTCCAGTCCGTAGTGCCAATCACTATTTTTCATGTATTCCATGCACCGAATTGGCATTGGTGTCAATGGGAGTTCAGCATAGAGAAGTACACAATGTGCAATAGAGATCAACACTGAATGTAAAAAGAATTTTGTCTGTACATCTGATCCTGTGATGACCAAGTACAGAATTATAGTTATGTAAATAAAAACTCACAACACTCCGTCAAAGCAATAATTTTTGGTCAACAGTTAAATGCATTAACCCATAGATAAGAGTGACATTTGCTAACCAGTCATCCAAATGAATACTTAGGAACACACATCTATGTCTTTACCTTTCTCATCCACAGTATCTCAAAAGTTTTTGTGAAATCATGTCATGAAAATTAAAGTGGCTAGAAGAATTATATTCTTGTCAATTATTTCACCCCCCCTCCAAAAATTCTTAGGATTTACCCACTGATTAAATTCCTGCTAAAGTAAATGAGAAAATTACAAGTCAGTGAAAAATTTAGGGAGCATTATTGTCTTTATGAAAAAAAACCTATCATTTTAATTAAATCAAATCCAACTGTTGAAAATAAAGCATTTTAAATCATTTAACTATGAATTATATGTAAACCTTACAATAACAAAATTTAAAAATTCATGTGATTTTTTTAAATGCTAGGCTCACTTCTTTGGAGACACATTTTCAGTCCAAAAAGTTATCTGTCCAAAAATGTTTAGAATCAGCATCGTATTAGCTATTAACAAAGGGTATGATCCTGACCTCATTAAAGAACAATGAGAATTTTTAACATTGATTTTAGCGGGATCTGCAAGAGGCCCAAAACCATTTTGAATTCAGCAAGTATGAGTATGTGACACTCCATAATGGTTACCAGAGGTGGTATTCTCCTCAAAATATTCCAGGAGTATGCTTAATTCCTATTAACTGTGCTGTAAATCTCCTATGTACAGTAACTCCTCACTTAACGTTGTAGTTATGTTCCTGAAAAATGTGACTTTAAGCAAAACGATGTTAAGCGAATCCAATTTCCCCATAAGAATTAATGTAAATGAGGGGGTTTGGTTCCAGGGAAATTTTTTTTCCTGGAACCTAACCCTCTCATTTACATTAATGTAATTACTTTACATTACATTAATATGTGTGTGTGTGTGTGTGTGTGTGTATGTGTATATGTATACATACACACACATTACATTACATTAATATGTGTGTGTGTGTATATATACACCTCCACCTCAACCAAGCTTCACAATCATCATCACTGTGTACCAGTATTAAATTGTTTGTTTAAAACGTATACTGTGTGTGTGTGTGTGTGTGTGTATGTATGTATACACACACACACAGTATACGTTTTAAGCAAACAATTTAATACTGGTACACAGTGATGATGATTGTATAGCTTGGTTGAGGTGGAGGAGTCAGAGGGTGGGATATTTCTAGGGAATGCCTTACTGCTAAATGATGAACTAGTAATTGGCTGAGCCCTCAGGGTTTAACTCTCACACTCTACTGTACAAGGCAGCAGGAAAGGAGGGAGGGCAGACAGAGACAGAGACACACACCCTGTGTGTGTGTGAGAGAGAGAGAGAGAGAGAGAGATGCGCATTTCCCCTTTAAGTATGCAGAATGGGGTCAGAAATACACTGCCTTGTTAATTAGATCAGCAAGCTGAGACCAGACTGCAGCTGCTGCTGCCTGGAAGCTCCCTCTTTCATGTGTGTCCCCTGCTCTATGGAAGATGGGGTAAGCGGGGTGCAGGAGCAGGGGAGAGGGGGACACCCTGACATTAGCCCTCCTCTTCCTCCCCCCACACAGCAGGCAGGAGTCTTGGGGAGCAGCTCCAAGGCAGAGGGCAGGAGCAACACATGGCAGTGGGGGGAGGGACAGCTGCAATTGTTAGCCTGCTGGGCAGCTGCTGCACAGGGAACTTAGGAGAGCAGGGAGCTGATAGGGAGAGCTGATAGGGGGCTGTTGGTCCACCATGGTTCCAACCACCCACCAGCTAGCTCCACCAGGCTGCTCTTCCTGCAAGCAGTGGACAAAGCAGGCAGCTGCCAAATGACGTTAGAAGGGAGCATTACACAACTTTAAACGAGCATGTTTCCTAATTGATCAGCAACGTAGCAATGAAACAACGTTAACCGGGACGACTTTAAGTGGGGAGTTACTGTATCTGAAGAATGAACCCCAAGTCTGCAGATTTTGAAACATTTATTTATCTTGGAGGTGTGGGCTTAGGGGTCAGGAGGGAGTGTTTCAATTCTTAAAACACAAGAAGTTATTATAAAATAATAATAGTATTTAGCATTGACTATTAGCACTTTTCCTCTATAGATCTCAAAGCCCTTTACAAAAATGGGTATGTACCTTTAGTTTCATTTTGCAAAGATGGAAACTGAGACATGCAGAAGTTAAGCAGTGAGTCAGTAGATGAGTGGGGACTAGCACTCGGGCCTTGTGATTCCCAATCCAGTGCCCTATCCGCTGGAACTTTGTACATATAACTCCTATCAACATAAATAGTACGTATTCACATAACTTTGCATAGAGATGAGACTAAAATCCAAGCCTCATCATGTGTCATTCATTTACTGCCTACACTCAGCCCTGTGATTTGTATTGATTTAATAATATATCTGAAAGCAAAAATGTATAGTAAGCCAAAGACACTCCAAAGATCTGTCATGATGTAATTATTTCTTTTTTTAAAAATTGTCTATATTTTCTTCATGCAACAATTATTTCAGTTGTAAGTTTGCAAATTTCTAAAGGAAAACATAGCAAATATCTGAACTGTAACACTGCCATCAGCACTCTACTATTGCATAAATACCTTTAAAATATGGTATTAATATAAAAATTATATCATACAACTAAAAGAATGTAATATAGCTTTGCTATGGCAATGACCAGATCACTTTTCCAAACAAAAAATATTCTCCAGCATGTCATTTTGAACTTCTTCTGACCTTTTTAAAAGGAAGAGGGCTACAATTGAGAACAAATGTTTTGCAAGAAAAATATTGGTGACTCTATATTTGCAAAACAGAGAATGTTTAAAATACACAGCATTTATTTTAGCAGACATATAAGATGCTCTTGAGCCAAATTCTACTCTTGCATAGATCTGCATAAATCCAGACTAGAGTCCTCTTGATTTAGAGATTAATCTGATTTTACACTAGAGTAAAATGAGAACAATATTTGTCCCACAGTTGATGACATCTTTATGATCTCAGACAGTGTAAAATGCAACTTGTTAGTCATTTAGCGGTGAGTCATAGGTAAGGTACAAATATGAACTGCCATTGTAAAGTTCACGAGCAACAACTCTCAACGTAAAGAGCAAACAGTTATCTGTCATATTCACAGATGTTTTGGAAGAACATATTTGATACAAATATTTATTACAGTATATTGTGGCTGCTTCAGTGCCTTTTGGAGTAGCAACATATGAAAGGCCCCATTAAAATGGAAAAGTTGTTAAATCATATTAATGTTAAAAATTGTACTATTTCCTATTAAGCTCAATTTAAACAGCATTAAGTAAATATGTTCTAGACAATTCAGCTGGAAGTGTTGTTTTATTGATCTGTTTGAGGGGTGGGTGGGTCGTGTGAGTGTTGGTGGTGGTGGTGGTGTTTTTAAATATCTTTTCTCTACCAAAATATCCTTCTTGCTTTTCTTTATTTTCTCTACTGGTACACAGCTGCTGCAGCAGCAGCAGTTTTGAGAGATCTAAACTGCTGAAAGCTACTTCCCTAAAATGACCTTTCCTATCCAATAATTACTTCAGCGGTGTAAGCTCAAGCACTAGGAAACATTTCTTCCTCATATCGCTCACAAGTACTATTGTGCTGGGAAAGCTTTCCAGACATATGTGCACATATTTTAAAATCACTAAAACCTAAAAATATGCCATTGTTTTCATTTCAAATCTTGACTGTCCAGGATGCCTCAATCATTCTTTGAAAGTCTTGAGATAGTATGTGAGTGACAAGAATATGAGTATGTCTGGAGACTGACAATAACTGCATACCAGTATGTGCATTACTTAGAATCCCTAGGTTACAAAAGAGAGAGCAGAGTATATATCCTTTAAAGTGTAACTATTTCAAGGTTATCAGATGGAGGAAATGTGAATCCTTATCTAAGACAACAGATATGTTTGAAGTGGCCATGGACGGGATTTTCAAAAGTATCTTTGTGACTTAGGAGCACAAGTCCCATAGACTTTCAGTGGCACTAGTGTTCCTGAGTTATTTAGATGTTTTGAAAATTCTACCCTTTATTTACAAAACCTATGAGGAGTACTGGGTTTTCTAGATATTAACATAGATATGGATCACAATATTTAAAATCTCAACCATATTAATACCAGGAAATGGGGTAGAAGAATGACACCAAACACAATCATTTGTAATTATTTATTTGAGTTAAATCTTCCAAAAAGTATATTTACCAAAGACTGATATTGGTACCCTTCTCCCAAGGGTAGGTTTTTGGGGCTTTCCATGTTTGTTGACCATTGCAGGAGAAATCAGTGATGCACAGTCTACATGTTTTCTTAGTGCAGTTTGATTTATTAACACCAACCCTTAAACAGAGTTAGTTGCAAATGCCACACAGATTCTCAGGAATCTTAGCCAACACACCAGTGCCTGGTTCCCAGAGATCAACTCTACCCCAACAATTGAGTCTAGCTAGAGAGATTAAGGGAGATCACAAACTCTCCTGCCACTTGCAACAGTTCCCCCCAAAAGAAACAGCATTACAAAAGCTAGCAACAATGCAGCATATTGTCAAAGACTGAACACTGCTCACATGCTCGGAAAAATAACTTGTAAAACTGTGTAACAGTGCCATCTGGTGACTCGTACCATAACAATATTCTCCATCACAGTGCAATGAACCACCAGAAAAGCCAAATTTTTACCAAATAAAGAACGAATTCTGGATTTATTTCCATCCTACATTTGCATTCATTTACCATGATTGTGCACACAAATTAGGTATTTGCACATACAAATGGACAAGTAACTGCCTAACTAACCACTTTTGCAAACAAATATTTGATGTGCACACCAGATGTGGAAATTGAATAAACTACATGCATATAAATGTTAGGTCAAAAATGTCCTAAAATTGAGGGATATATAGCTATAGATCTTTTATTTTCCATGTACTGCACCTTTTGATTTCTAAACACATTAACTGCACACAGAATTCAGCAGCTATTTTGTACTTATGCTCGGTAGACTTCCAGAGTCAACCTCCTGCTCTCTCAGAGAGACTTTACCTTTGTTCTTTCTTGTTTCATTGTTTTAGCCTGAGAGTCTCTTCTTTGTGTAGAGACAAAAAAACATAACAAAGACCATTAACATAAATGAAAAGCTTAACTAATAAAACTGGATTTGTATCCCTTTTTAGAGCTATGAAGTTCTGTATAAAGCACGATACATGCCAAAGAATACATTCAAAGGCAAGCTCAGGGTATCAGATTTCCATTATTTATACTTAAGCCACAAGAAACAATGTGTAAAAAATATTCAAGGTCTGACAAACTCAGAAAAACTAGAAAACATAATAAAGGGTGATATTAGCTCTCTAGGCCATCCCCTAGTTTACAGCTATATAAGCAATACTGGAACCATTTCTGGTCATTTTACTGAACAGAGATTTTTTTGCAAACCCTTCATTTTTGATTCACATGATTCACCCCTGAACTTTGTTTTACATTTTGAGTTCTTTAAAACTCAATGTAGGCTTGCATAAAACTAAGCGCATGTTCCGTAACAGGTTTATCAAAGAACCTGTGTGATCCTGGCCTGAGTTTTGGGTTTGGAATGAAAAATAAAACCTCCCGAATTTCATCTGGTTTCAGGTTTCCTATCATTTACCTAAAAAATTTGCCATATAGATCACCCACTCATTACAGACCCTTGTAATCAATACCCATTCACACTAGGGCAGCATACAGATGGGAATTTTATTAAGCTTTACATCTCTGGGTCAGACACTTGAATTCAGTCCATGTTATTTGGGCCC